CCATCATTACACATTGAGGCCCTTCTTTTAGGTAAAACGATCTATCTTAAATTTTCTTTCTCAAGTTTGGGACTATTATGTTTTTAAATAACTTAGAAGGCAAAGGAGGGCAAGCACAAGCCTAAAGCCTAACAAATGCGCGCGAAGCGCGCGAAAAATTTTTGTGTTGTTAATTCTAATTTCGTCGCAATTGATCAAAACTCCCTAAAATGTGCAATTTTTAGAGGAAATTGGCCTATCTCAACAAGAAATGCTCTTATGTTATATATGGCCACACTCGTTTTTTTGAACTGAATATAAGCATTTTCCTTATGGATTTATTTATTACAAACATATTCTTTCAACATCATTACACATTGAGGCCCTTCTTTTATAAACGATCTATCCTTAAATTTTCTTTCTTGAGTTTAGGACTATGTGTTATAATTTATAAGGCAAAGGAGAGCAAGCACAAGCTTTAACATTAAAAAATGCGCGCGTAGTGTGCGAAAAATGTTGTTTTCTAATTTCGTCGGAATTGATCAAAACTCCCTAAAATGTGCAATTTTTAGAGGAAATTGGACTACCTCAACAAAATATTGGATTTAAAATTTGAGATTTTCAGGCACTTTCCCGGGTGAAAAGGGCATTCAATGGGGAAAGATTTTCCACAGATGGATATTTTTCCCTTGTTCCCCGGTGGTTACACCACTGCGGAGAATACCTGGCGGCTTAGATCAAATGCGATGTGGACATTTTTTGAAGTGGAGAAGGGGTTGCAGGCCGGGGTATTGTGATATCTGTTCATTATATCTTCCTTTTTATTCTTGTCTTTATTTTTCTCTTCTCTTTTTCTTTTCCTTTTTCCTTTCTTTTTCTTTCTCTTTCCCTCCCTCTCTCCTCTTTCTTTTCTCTTCTTACCCAGCCCGATACGACGGCTTGGTCTGCCCCCCCCCCCTGGTCCCCGCCTTTTACGCCACTGTTTATAAGATGAATGAGAATATGAATCATGCAGATCTAGAATCAAATGAGCTAGGTGTCTAATTACTTTGTTCTTCAAAATTCAAGGTTTTCCCCCTCATGAAAACGGTAAGGTAAACTTTCTCAGCAGTCATACAAAAATCTCCAGACATTATATATTTTTCGCCAAAAAGTGGGGGGGGGGGCCCGGGGCCCCCGCTTCCGCCGGCCATGCTGTCCCCCCTCTAATTTGCTTTCCTGGAGTCTACACTGATGATATAAATTAAGTAAATCACCTTTATGTTTGTGAAATCAAAATGCTAACTAATGTTTTGTGTTCTCCCTCCCTAGTCCTGTATGATCGTTAATTAGATGGTATTATTTTCACTCACAATAGTGTAGGCCTAGTCGCAATATCACTTACACAAAAGTGGAATCCAAAAAACAAAAAAAAAGAAGAAAAGCAAAAACTCTTGATTGATTTTAAAAGTACTGTACATGCAAAAAGACTAAATTAATGACTGTTTTAAGTTTATCTTATTTGTTTTTCATGGGTCGAATTTTGAATACGTTACAAGCTAATTAGTAGATAATAAATCATTATTTTTATGTACACACACGAAATACATAAGCGGGCATAATTATGACTAAAGGGATAATTTTAAAAACTTTTTTATGAGTATTTCAGTGGCAAATTCAAGGGGCCCAGCCGGCCCACCATCCCTAATTTTTTTTTTTTTCGAAATTAAAAGTGGAAAAAAAATTATATTCAAATTCAGTCTGAGAGTGCCATTTCCGACCAACTAGAGGTGCCCTAATCATAAATTTTCTTACCAACCATGGTGAGGCTGAGGTGGTCTACACTCTCCATCTGTATAAGTCCCTCTATGGGCCCAGCCCTATTTCAAATTACTGGATCCGCCACTGGATATTTTAAAATTTCGTATGGAAATAAGTGTTAATTGCATTGCTTAAAATCAATTAAAAGGCTATATGCGCCAGAGCTTCCGGGGGTCCCTAACCAAGGCTTGGGCCTACGGCCCAAGGCTCATTTTTCATTTCGTCCCTCCCACTTTCAACCATGTAAAAAACATGTTTTGTAATAGACAAAACCATGTTTGTCTGTACAAAACATGTTTTGTATTAGGCCTAAGCAGGGGCAGATTTAGGGAGCGGGCATTTTGGAAAATAAAAAAAAGATGGAGAAAAAAAAAAGAAAGAAATAAAGAAAAAGAAATTATTCATCGCCCAAACCACCTCAGAGAATAATTCCGGGTGACTAAGAAAACAGTTTTTCGGGGTATGCCACAGATCCCCCTAGGGTAGTGTTGTCTCTCAATCGTCCCCCCACCTTCGGATATCTCTAGATCTGCATTTGCTAAAGGCCAATATAGGTATATATTTTTTTCAATAATTATTTGTTGTTCATATGTTGTTATTTTTCTCATACTCTCAATTTCCACTTGTATTGCTGTCAGTGTGGAACACAGACACTTGAGACAATTTAACACACATTTTAACAACCTGTTCAATGCACAATTATATTTATTATAAAATTAATGGCCTATATATGGCACAATATTTGTAAAATTAATTAAAAAAAACTACAAAATTTATAAAAATAAAAAAATCCTATTTAAATATATGTTTTTCTTTTTTAAATATATATTTTTTTAAATATATGTGTATTATAATATGGTAGGTAAAATATGCGTATAAGTATAAAAAATATATATTGAATATATACATGTATATCATTGTAGCAGAGTACTTCTATCATTTACCTACTTGTTATTTATTATATATTTGATGTTATATTATTTTGATTTTAATTTGATTTGATTTATTCAATATCTTTTAAATTACATACAGACATAGGAAATCTCGTTGACAGACGAAAAATAGGCAAAACAACGAAAAAGAGATATTCGGATAACCCTCTAAGTCCCTATTAGGGACTTATTTCCAGAGGGGTCCATCACAATAATATTACTGTATATTATATAATTATCTAGCTTTTTAAATAAAATAAAAGCAAAATCTCTGAAGAATTTGCATACGAATTTTCAAATGTGAGAATTCTACTAAGACAAATAATAATATATGTTATATAATATATAATTAATATCATATATAAATATGCGTAGAAGTATGAACACTATATATTAAAGAAACTGCCTTAATAGTGCAAAGAGCGGCGCATATAATTGTAGCAAAGCATTGCTTTCATTTACCATATTCTTTTATATTATATATTTGATGTTATTTTACTTTATATTACAGTATATAATTATCTAGTTTTTTTCAATAAAATTAAAGCAAAATCTCAGAAAAAAAAAATTAGATTATGAATCGTCAAATTCGACTAAGAAAAATAATAATGGTATATAATACATAATCCATATCATATATAAATATGCATAAAGGAATAAACACTATGTTTTGAAGAAACTGCCTTAATAATACAGTATCTAATACATTAGATACTGTTTTATGAAAAGCTTTGAAAAAAATCTGATTATGAATTGTCAAATGTGAGAATTTGACTATAACAAATAATGCTATAACATATAATATATAATTAATATCTTTAAAAATATCTTCAGCTGCTGAAATTACCGATCCATGTCTGCAAGACTTCTTGACCAACTTAACTGTTCATTTGACCATGGTGATGTTGAATTCGACTGAAATAAGAAATGATTATGTATGTAAATGTGATATTATTGTTGTATAATAAATTTTTTTATATCTTGTGATTTTATTGTATTGATTATATTTTTGATGTTTATTGCAATTTTCGCCTGTAAGTGGGAACGAAGAGTTCCTGTTGGACAATTGTTTTATTAATTATAAAATAAAATAAAAAAGTATATAATAGAATAAGTTGGAAACAAAGTTTAGAATGAACTTGCTCCGAATAATGTGAGGGATGCCTGAGCTCCCTCTCATTATTCAGAGTAACATTCCTTCTTACATTTATTTAAACATAATCAGTGCATCTTTGGTCTTTAATACTATTTATTTTCATGAATATTTTACCATTTTTAAGGATTTCATCATGGTAATTGATTTATTCAAAGGGGACAATGCAGTCCATTGCACAAGTAACAAAATCCTTTTAAATGGCATTTGACATGTGTAGTTCTGATCAAAAATGTAAAATTAGGACTGTTTATTAGTTATATAAGCACTTGCTAGTTTTTATTATACAAGTACAAAATTCAACTGATTGATATGAAGAAGACGAGAAAACATAACTATTTTTGTGCATTGCTGTCTTTTTGTAAGTCTCGGACCCTTTAATCTGCACAACTAAATATATATTTCGCTCATTTTGGTCATTTTTTTTTTAATCATATATCTCTGCTGTTTACTGTAGTTGGTACTAGTGACTGATCCCACCAATAAAGTATTATTAAATAGACTTGCCGGAACTATTTTAAACGCTGATATCACAACACCTGTTAACAATCTTATGAAATCTCTAAATTATGTAAATCAACGATGGGAAGAGAATATACTTATTATGACCTACTTATTATGATTATTTAACAGCCACAGTCCCTCAGTACTTAAATAATTTTTACTTGCGGTTCAATTAAAACAAAACTTTGCATTCCTTCAAAAATTTGATTTAATATTACATTTTTATTTTGCTTCTTGTGTATACCAAATTTTCTATCTATCTATCTATCTATCTATCTATCTATCTATCTATCTATCTATCTATCTATCTATCTATCTATCTATCTATCTATCTATCTATCTATCTATCTATCTATCTATCTATCTATCTATCTATCTATCTATCTATCTATCTATCTATCTATCTATCTATCTATCTATCTATCTATCTATCTATCTATCTATCTATCTATCTATCTATCTATCTATCTATCTATCTATCTATCTATCTATCTATCTATCTATCTATCTATCTATCTATCTATCTATCTATCTATCTATCTATCTATCTATCTATCTATCTATCTATCTATCTATCTATCTATCTATCTATCTATCTACATTCCTTCAAAAATTTGATTTAATATTACATTTTTATTTTGCTTCTTGTGTATACCAAATTTTCTATCTATCTATCTATCTATCTATCTATCTATCTATCTATCTATCTATCTATCTATCTATCTATCTATCTATCTATCTATCTATCTATCTATCTATCTATCTATCTATCTATCTATCTATCTCTATCTCTATCTCTATCTCTATCTCTGTCTGTCTATCTATCTATCTATCTATCTATCTATCTATCTATCTATCTATCTCTATCTCTGTCTGTCTGTCTGTCTGTCTATCTATCTATCTATCTATAACAAGAAGTTATTAGGAAACTACCCCCTTGAAACAGTGTGTCACCCTTTGCATGATAAAGGTGCATCCAAAATAAGTTTAACATTAAGTTTACGACATATAATACAAACACAATATAAAGGTAACAAGGTCTTAAATACAAGTAGAATAAACATCACTCAGGCAACTGACAAGGCCACTCCCATCCAAAACCCACACTCATCAAAGTACCATTAGTACTCAATAGGAGCAAAATTCCGATCGAAATGGCCCTGCCAATCCCCCGAGTTATCCTTATTTAATTTCAAATTAATATACAAAAATAAATCACCAAAACTCAAACTAAACAATTAAAATACAGTAAATCAAAAAGGAAAATGAATTAAACTGTATAACATAATAAAAAATTAAAAAATTAAGATATTCAGAACACCAAACATCTCTGAAAGCATACATATGAGATGAGTCGAATAAGTAAACAAAATCAGACACATGCAAAGCACTTTGACTTCATACGCCAATTATAACAATTATTTACCTGGAAACTGCTGGCCTCATCACCGGTTGCAACGAATGGTCGTATAAATTCAGAGTTTTCAGACTGTGTTTCCAGTTGATAGTCTGCCAATGAGCTCAGGTGCTTCTGTTTTGCATAGAAAAGGTGATTTTTTATTACAATACAAACATGCTAAATTTTGTCGAATTTTCAAAGGGCCCACTCTTTTGTAAATAATCCCTAACTTCACTACTCACATTAAGATACACTGTGTTTCGTATAACCCTGGAAAGATGATCAATTCTTGTGTCACTGTCAGTAGCCGACGATGCGATTGAAACTGAATCATAGAAACTCGAAGAAAGTCTTGGTAGGTTTGCGGCTTGATTGCGTACGACGACTCCGCTGAGTGGTCGCTTACGATTAGCCCTCCGCTTCTTTGCAATAACAAGAACACAGACGAAAGCCAGTACGAAAAGTAGTAGTGCAATAACGATGGAAAACATCACTACTAAAAATGCCTCAGAAGTGTTATCATCTGTTATTTCTATATGAAAATTAAAGATGTATATATTCTTAATAATGTCAGTTTTTATATAGTCCTTGATAATAATAATAATAATAATAATAATAATAGTTTGATCTTGACTGAGCACATTTTGCTGAAAGCCTCAATGCACTTTACATTATAAATAAAAATCCAGGGTTAAGCAAAATACACATTAAAAAGATGAGTTTTGAGTAGCTGTTTGAAAGTGACAAGTATCTATGCACTTCACATAATTACCTCTGCTATTGAATCAAACACATATGGGATTGAGCTCCCCTAAATAATATTTCCTATTAACTTTTGTTTCATGGTAATAGTATAAAGCATTCGTTTTGTAACTGACCGCGGTCAGTCATGCGTGAATAATATATAAAATGCTCGTACGAAAACATTCCCAACGTAGTTCATAATATGTTACACGTCACAATTTAACCATTTTGCTCGTCATACTCTGAAGGGCACAAGTGTAATAATAATACCCAAATTATTTATAATAGCGCCAATTCCAACGAATGGTCAAAGGCGTTGAGCATTACTACCCCCTGGTAATAATAATAATAATAATAATCAGTTTTTATATAGCGAAATTACAATCAATTATTTTTACCTTCCAAAAAGAGGGCCCAAGAGTGCCATTTCCGGTCATCTAGAGAGTACTATTTCCTCAAATTTTTACACCTATGCCCCAATCATGGGTGGGGCTGAGGTGTGTGTGGTCTCACTGAATGCCACGCCACCCACTTTTCAAAACTGATCTGCGCCTTTGCCTGGGTGGGGAGTATACTAAGTAGTGCACTACTTATTTAGCGCACAAAACTAGTACATTAACTACCACAGCATCCTATCAGGTACCCATTTATACTCATGGTAGAGAGAGAGACAAACGTATATAAAGTGCTTTGCAAGGACACAAGCAACTTGCACAGCGGGAGTTTCGAACTCCAGACCTCAAAGTTGGGAGTCTAAGCCACAAAACTGATGTGTCAACCGCTCCTACTACGCACAGAACTTTCTGTGTGAACTCAACTGAATTTGTGTGGCTAAGGTATCTATTTAACATGTGAGTTGCGATTTTGGAACATGTACTCCAATTACGATTTGTGACTTACGGTTTCAAATTTTTACTCCTGGAATAGTGGCAAAAACACTTTTGTTACATACCTTTTACTTCACAAAGATCCCCAGCAAAGCCTTCAGAGCAACTGTACATAAAAAAAAAATATAAGTAATAATTATCAATAATATTAATAATAATAATAATAATAATAAGTAGAAGGTATTGTATAATAAGTAATAATAATAAGTATAATGATAATATAATAAGATGGATAAGATTTACCTGCACGATCGCTCGAGTAAGTCATCGATTTTACACTCGCCACCATTATAGCAATACTCAGTGCAATTAATAGGAAGATCTTAAATGATAATGCAGACATACACAAATATTTTCTATCAGTATCGTACAGTTGTTTAATATTCCTGTGTGGCATTATGTATGTAGACCTCTATAACTTATAGCATTGATTCAGCATTTGCCATTTATCTTCAAAGCTTCAACAATGATGATATTTTGAAATAATCATCTACTACCGGTGAGATGCAAGACAAAACATGCAAATATTGAGATTATGTATAGAGGTCATGAATACTATAATAAGTCATGTATATAAGAATTAGAATGATAGAGTAATATTCTAATGAGTTGTTTCTTTGTTCAGTGACGGATTTCCCCACGCAATGTTCTTTTATTATTTTTAAGTTAATAAGTATTATGGGCGGAGTCAAGAATAGTTAAGCAGTCTAAATTGGATGTGTTTTTACATTTAACGGAGTTCAGAAAATGTTGAAATATGTGTGATGACTTGTCCCGAAACTAAGTGCTCCTTTGCGCAATTATTATATTGAACCTCACATTGAATCTAAAATGCGGGCGTAACTTTATCCACTAATATACAAAAAAAAAAAGAGATAAGTATTCTTACCTTCCCCTACATATTCATAATTTAGGTCAATTGTAATATTTATTCTGGAATCTGTTGAATATAAGCGACTGTCATTATCCGCTTTCTGTAGGAGCATTTCTAATAGCTGTTTACCATCACTGGTTGTCCTAGTATAGAAATCGAGTTGGTAAACTACAATAATACTGCTCTCCAAGAAGCCAAGTATAGTGCAGGCGTAAAAATGTGCTGCCGTTTCTAATAGAGTACCATACACATCGTCTATCTAATAAGATATTAACATTAAGGATAATGATAACGATAACGATAACGTTAACAGTACTGGAAACGCTATGTCAAAAGATGACGTCAAAATAATGATAACCTATTCCTCAAAAAAAGACTAGCATAGTTCATAATTTGAGGCACTATATAAGTTGTATATTACTAAAACCTTATTTTAAGTTGATGAGTATACAGACATAATTGAAAGTCCATTTGCGGAAAGGGTCATTAGAGTCAATTCTCATACAGTATTTTATGTGAGAAGTGTATGCGCAGTTCGTGACGACTCAAAGGCTTTCTTCGTTGTCTAAGACTTTGTTTTCGAACAAAGCACAGGGCGAGGCCGAGGAGGCTTTGTTCTTTGTGCACCACGCGGCTCCGGAGGGCTTTTGCGCCGTGAATGGGGCTGGCTTCGCTCTGTCCTTTTTTTTTTCTCTAACGCGGATCCAACTCTGGTCCCTGATGCCATTGCTCTCCTTCGGGAGGGTATTGGCCTTACTTCCGACCAGTTCGGAAAAAACGTCAGGCGATCAGACCGCAAAAATTCCGAATGGACACTCTCGCTCTCATACTCCAAGGGCTCATGCCCGGTGACTGGACTATAGACCTCAAGGATGCTTACTTTCACGTGCCTATTTTCCCAGCAGATCGCAAATGGCTGCGTTTCCGTCTGGACAGGCGTACGTTTCAGTTCAAAGTTCTTCCCTTCGGTCTATCCACGGCTCCTCGGGTGTTTACACGGGTGGTGAAATCCCTAGGTGCAGTGTTTCACGGATTTTCATGTCGCCATTGTTCCGAAAACGGAACACCCCTTTGAAAAAAAAAATGGAACAGTCCGACCCAGGGCCCCACGCATGAACCGTCTCCCTAACAAAAGTCCTCATTCCCTAGAGATCCAAAAGATCACGGAGAGGGTAGGAAGGGAGGGAAGGTTATCCAGGTAAGTACTGTATCTCACTCATAGACTACCAACATCACGATTGATTTGTGTATTTTCACTACCGTAGGTCACGATTGTCGAGAATGAGCAACTATCTATATACTATTTAGGCTATGGTTTAATTAAATATATTAAGGAAGCATTTGATTTGTATTGATTATGTGACAATTAAAAGTATTATATATATTTTATTTGACAACAAAACTTTAAAAGATCAGCACTCACAAAAACTCTTCAAAAATGTGAAAAGCTAATAAAATCACAATTAAAAACAGGTTAGGTCTATGCATCAACACAACAAAAAGGTAAAAAGTTCGAATTTAAACATTTAAAATACAAGTCATGAATCAAGCATAATATACATAAAAAGCATCACCAAATTTGACAATAAATCTGAAAAAATTGCAAACAATACTAAGGATACTAAAATTGACATAACAATTCTTATTCTAACTGGGTCAGATACTTACTATCGTACACATTTGTTTGGCATAAAGTTTAAACTTGGTTGATGAGCTATCTGCCAACGCTTCATCCCATTCTGCCAACGCCTTTGATCCGTTCACTTCAACAACAAGTATTTTCCCACGAAACGATTTTCCACCTAAAAGGTATAGATACCATAATTTGTTTACACTCGAACTCAGTAATGATAGTAATACTATTGTTAAAATTAAGCTATAGTATGTTATATAGGCTTACTTGAATAAATATATTATATTAGATATTGACTTTGGACCATGTTTAAATATTAGACAGATAAATAGGTTTAATCAAACTGTGTTTCTCAAATTTTGACAGGAAAAATGATGGGGTAATCTACTTCAGAATTTTATTGTATGACAGGCAAACGAGTGAAATAACATCAATGAATGTTGGCTTACTTAAGCATGCACCGTCAAGAAAAACATATCCCAAAACGCATTCGCAAGTGAAGCTGCCAACCGTATTCAGACATTCTTCGTTAGCTCCACCACACGGATCTTCTAAGCATTCGTCTTTGTCTACAAATTAATTGGAAACAATAAATTTCAATATTCCACTATCGTTGTATTTAAATTATAGGATTATGGCAATCGCCATTTCCAGATAAACTATCTGGAGACAGCGTCACTCTGTTACTTATGTTTATTCGATTATTTTTTATTCAGCATTTTTTCACAGTGGCACCTCGCAAGGTACATACCACTGCATAAAAACATATCAGTGACAGCATAAATAATAAAGAAGACGAGAAGATACAAAAATAAATGACTGTAAGGTGGGCCTATCGACATAACCTTACCGGCGCAAACTCGGCTAGCATCACGTTCAAATCCCGTCGCACACTCACAAGAGAAACCGCCATCTGTGTTAGTACAGTTTTCTAATACTTTACATGGATTTATCAAGCATTCGTCTATATCTGTAAACATAATTGGTAAATTCATAATAATAGTGATTTTTCTTTCAAAATAATTGATGTCATCACCATTTATAATTTCATGAGTTCACAACACATGATGTCACTAAAAGTCATCTGTGAATTTTAAGTTCTCCTCATCGTGTAGATTCTAGAACGTAATTTCGCCAAGTCTAGGTATGCAGAGAACGCAGGATGCGCGGTAGGATGGTCATGCATGAGCGACTCCATTCTAGCGTTGCGTCATCGCACAAATCGAAAGCTCCCTTTTAATAAACATACACACAACATGTTTATGTCGAATGACCTTGATTGACCTTTGATACGGGTATGTGCAGTTGAAACTAGAAATTGGCCTATCAATATATCAGGATAAATGATTCAGAAAAAAGGCAATGAACATGACAGATTGTGGACGAATTGATTTATAATCGTTACTTACCAACGCATGTGCCATTATCAAATGAATATCCTTCCAATTGGCATTGACAGGTATGACTGCCATTTATATTGATACAGTCTGCGTTTGATGGACATGGACTTCGTAAACAGCTATTCTCATCTGTCAGAAAAAATGTTAAAAATTCTTAACATATTTAATAATCTTCATCATGATGATCATCATCGTCGTCGTCGTCATTGTCATCATCATGCCATGCAGTCGCCTGAACTGGTGGTTAGTCACTATGTGTGTGCGCTGAACTGTAAAGATCTCTTGGTCCCTGGGGTTCACTTCCCATCGCTGCTATCCTTGGGTTATCCTTGGTGTTTACAACGAATAATCTCATCCATCCAAAATCATCATCATCACCATCATCATCACCGCCTTGTAGCGATAGTAAAATACTGTCTCTTACCGATACATGCATTGTCTTCAATGATGAATCCCGGCAGACAGACACATTCGTAGCTGCCATAAGTATTATTACATTTGAAACCAGATGGACATTCAAAGATCTCTTTGGCACATTCATCATCATCTGCAACAAAATACCATTGCTAATTAACTATCCAAAATGTCAGAACTGACCAATCAGATCAGGACCAAGAGGACGTGCATACATTATGTTTACGGTGTTGTGTTGTTTCAATATCCAAGCAATATGGTTTATAGCAGGGGTGGGCATTAAATTGGTTGGAGGAACAAAGGGAATTTTTTATTCAACTCCAAGGGCCGTACCCAAACTTTGATATTTCAGTGCACTTCTAAAAACCTTTATACACTGTTTTATGGCCACTATGCTCCATTTTAATATTACTTTTTACAGATGATTGGTGCTGGGCTGCAAAAAAACAAGGTGTTTTCTTGCCAAAAATGGTTTACGGGCAGCGCACATAGAATTTGTAATTTATTTTCGCGGGCCGGAAAAAAAAAAACACTGGTGGGCCGTATGCTCATGCCCATACATCTGAAAGCTTGCATTATTTTTGCTATATTTTCTAAACATTGGGTATGTTATAGAATAGGCATCACTGAATATAAAAAGTATGTTCATGCAGGGGGCAACGAGCAAATTTCAAAATGGTCGAAATTTTAAAACATTTTATTACCAATAATTGTACTTTTATGACATTAAAAGATGATAATATACTAAATATTCTTTCACATAAGTGACAATAAATATAAAATAATATTTTACCTCATATTTGCAAAATTGAAATATAAAAAAATGGCCACCATTTTAATAATTTTAGCTATTTTAGCATATATTTAATTTATGCAGTTACTTACTTAATTAGGCCCATAAAAACTAGAATTTAAAATGGAACAAATTGCAAAAATTAATTTAATAAAAATAATAATAGTGTAGTTTTATATAGCGCACATATCCATCTAATGTAAGATGCACAGGGCGCTTGATATGTGGACTAGGAACTTGATCAAAGACTTTCTTCGCCCCTAAGGGTCCCTTCGTGTCTGTACTACCCGGTCCCTCGGTACCAGCAACTCTCGTTGTCCACCACAGGGGCTGTCTGTTCCAGTACACCGGGGTATCCCCCTACTCGTCTCAAAGGATGTACTGGGTTCTTTATAGTGCACACGAGCCACTGTATACACTGGGCCTACGGTTTACAATTTGTGTCATTTCAAAGGCTACGTTGTACGGGACTAATTAAAACATTAATTTCATATATTAAATATATGTTAAATAGCTAAACAAATTAAAATGATGGCCATTTTGGATTTGAATTTTGCAGACTTGAAGTAAAATATTATTTCTATTTATAATGTCACTGAAAATATATTCAATATCTTAGCATTTTTTATGTCATAAAAGTACAATTATTGGTAATAAAATGTTCAAAAATGGCTGCCATTTTGAAAGTAGGGGATTGTCTCACAGTGTACTCTTCACACTGCTCAATCACCATCAGAAGGACCCCACTGGAAATAAGTCTTATTCAGAATTTTTTGGGTTATTCTTTACGATCTATCTATCCAAAATCATCATCATCATCGTCTAGCTGGTGTAGGCTGAAAAGGTAGTGATAATAAAATAATATTTCTTACCAATACATGCATTGTCTTCAAGGATGAATCCCGGCCGACAGACACATTCGTAGCTACCATAAGTATTATTACATTTAAAGCCAGATGGACATTCGAAGGTCTCTTTGGCGCATTCATCATCGTCTGCAATAAAAGAACATGGCTAATTAACCTTCTAAAGTGTCGAAACTGACCAATCAGATCAGGACCAAGAATACGTGCACGTCCCACAAACATACATACTATGTTTACGCTGTCGTTTTGTTGGACCTTGACAACAATATCCAAGCGAAAGGATTGAAAGGTCCATTTCCTTCTATTATTACATTAATTTTTGATTAAAAATCAATGAATCTACCATTATGAAAAATATATTATACTAATGAATGCAATGAATGATTAATTGAAATAATGGTTGATAAATCATTAAAGTGTTTTACACTCAAATTCTTCTTGCTTAGCTCAGTCAGCTAGAATGGTGGAAGCCACTGTGTGTGCGCTGAACCGACAAGATCTCATGGTCCCTGGCTCAATTCCCATAGCTGCTCTCCTTGTGTACTTCAGCTGGAGGGCTAAAGCATTGCAAGTTACGGTAGCACAACGTCTTTTGGATGAGACAATTAGGAAGTTGGTCCTGTGTGTATTATGGCCAATGTGTACGTTATGAACGCTGTACACTCATCGGAAATAGAGTAGGGCATTGTCTCATGGTGTACTCTTCACACTGCTCAAACACCACCAGAAAGACCCAACTGGAAATAAATCTTCTTCACACTTTCGTGGGTTATCCTTTGTGTTTACACCGAATAAACTCATCTATCCAAAATCATCACCGTATTAGCATTATAGTCAGTGGCGTAACGCTTATGTGTTCTCATCGATGGTCCGCAGGGCTCCGACCCCGAGGAGCCCACCCCATATGTTCCTCGATCTAGCATCTTGACCAAAAAGGACTTTCTTGATACATAACATCATAATGTGTCGACTGCAGGGCATATATTATATTACAGTATATCCAGTGGCGGTTTAAAGGGACCCCTAAAAAATTTGTCTAAAAAAAATTTAAAATGGAGATAAAAAGAAAACCATATTCAAAATTTTAAGTCTGTGAGTGCCATTTTTGGTGCAAACATAATTAAAAAGTGAGCATATCCAAAATCCCATGATGGAATTGGCGACCGGGACCCAAAAACTTCCCCCAGTTTCAGTAGGCCACAGGGCCCCTGGCCCCATCGTTATGCCACTGATTATAGTGTAGGCACACAATGAAGTGATAGTAAAATAATATCTCTTACCAATACATGCATTGTCTTCAATGATGAATCCTGACAGACAGACACATTCGTAGCCGCCATAAGTATTATTACATTTAAAACCAGATGGACATTCGAAAGTCTCTTTGGCGCATTCATCATCGTCTGCAATAAAAGACCACTTCTAATTACCTTACCATAGTGCGATAAGGCTTAGTGGTAAGGTCCATTCTTTAGGGTGTCCTTATCTATTTCTATTATTACATTAATTTTTGATTGAAAATCAATGAATTTACATTATAAAAGATTTAGAATACTATAAGTAACGGACACAATGAATGATTAATTGAAATAATGGTGGGTAAAACATTAAAATTTTCTACACTCAAATTCTTCTTGTTTGTTCCACGGTCAATAGGCCAATTCTGTTTTGCCCAAAACCGCCTTAAATTTAAAAAGTACTTCATAATACACATGATAAGAGCCATAAAATTAATAAAGAGATACCTACAGTATTTCTATTTCTAAGAGAAGACTGTTCGTTGTGTATCAACTTACCCACGCATGAATCACTGGTTTCATTTAGTATGTAGCCGTGGAAACAGGTTTGACAATCGTATTTCTCGTGGCCTAAAAAAATGCAATCTTGGAAAAGTCTCTGTACACAGTCGTCTGTGCTCTCAAAGCAGGGATTGATATCTGTAATAAATATTAAAGGAATATGTCACCGGTGTGTAACAAAATCTAAAAACATCCCTCAGAAATTTAATAAACATTATAAATAAATTAATAATTTTTTTTTGGATAGAATTTAATCTTGGAAATTTCACTTCTTTCCAGTGGCGAAAATACTTTCTGAAATATCAACAGAGGGCGTACTCCATAGCGAAGAACTAGTACGAGAGCCATATATATCTATAGTTCTGTGAAGAACTTTGGATATTTTCACACTTACCAGGTTCCATAACTTCAACATCAGTTACATGCACCTGATTGTCAGGATCCAAGAAGTCCATATTACTGCCTGTTAACCCATTTAAGAATACTTGCCGTAACTGTTCGTCCGTAATGTTTAAATCTTTATCGAAACTGACGATAAAGGAGACGCCTAAGCCATCGGTTGCATTATAAAATGCAGCAGTTTCAGTGCCGAAATATTGATCTTTAATAGCACTCATTCGGAAAAGAGTATCCATCTGTTAACAAGATGAAATGTACATTAATACGTTGGTATTGACAGAATATAATTTTTTTTAAATAATGTACATTTTATTTTTTAAACATGATCGCAACTAAAAAAGAATTTTCTTTCTTGATAAACTTACATCTTTTGCTAATGCCACTGAAGTTTCATCAAAATCAAACTGAAACATTGTCACGCTCAATCCTTTGATGTACAAGAATTCAACCATTAGCGTTTTCGATGCTGATGCTGTTTAAACAAAGAAAATTATATTTACTACTCTACTGGTCTCACTGGCCTAGTACTGTGGCGGCACGGCTACAAGGATCCGGACTTTCCCACTCTAATCAAATCATATACTAAACCTAAATTTATTTTTCGTCTGAAACGTAACAACTTTAAGAAGAATTTACTTTATTATGAAAATAATATAGTATAATAAAGTACATGGGAATTGACGTAATTAGCAAAATGTGAAAATGTAACAAAAAGATGGAGGATCACATAATCAAAGCCAATCTGATTGAAATCTGTTTGATCCACCATAATTACAATAATACTGTAGTACGTACGCGCGCGTACCGTACTACTACCACAAGAATAAGAGTATTAATTATAATAATATAATGACAACGAAAATAATAAGTAACAGTAATAATAACTATAAAAATAACACAATAACAAGCACAAATGACAGTAACAATATTAATAATAATATTAATAAAGGGGGTGGGTGGAATACCTAGTGTATAAATTTGGCCCCGGGAGGGGAAGATATGGATTTAGTATCGTGTGAGGCTGAATTCATGAGGGCCGATATTTCTGTGATACCAGCAGTTTTATATGACACTTGGCCCTACTATTAGGCCCTGTCCAGAATATAAAAATTTATTAAAGCAAAACACGTCACATGCCTATATATGGGTATGGTGACATCACATCATGACCATATATAGGCACATCATGACTACATATGGGCATACAACCCAGTTGTTGATAGTATGGACAGATGTTAAAATTACCTCGACATTGGCCACTAATGTTGAAATAAAAGGTTTGACAGGTGCAATAGTAGGAGCCCTCAGTGTTTACACATCGCTCTTTCGCTTCAATATCACATGTATTAACCTGTTGATCACATTCATCTATATCTGTTATCATAAAAGGTACAAATTTACGAAATGGTAAAGATCACCAATCAAATGAAATATAATTTTAATTATCCTTTTACTATCGAGTTGTAATTTTGTTATGGATAAACAATTTTTATTTTGTGCAAGTTACGGCCTCAGGAAAATCTTGATTGTTATCTTATCATCAGTGTCTATTCTCATCACCATCACCTTCTTTTGAATCTGAATTTTATCACTGTCACTGTTCCTCATCACCATCACCAACAACCACCATCACCACCACAATCACCACCACCCTCATCACCTCCAACCATCATCCTCATAGTCATTTTATTATAACATGAATTGTCCTCATTGACGCGGTTCTTGAAAAGTCATTTTGATGCAGCACTTTAATGACTGACCTTCGCAATTGTAGCCGTCTCCAGTGAATCCACTTTTACATCCACAAGTGTATGATCCGACAGTATTTGTACATGTAGCAAAGTCATGGCAATTATCAATTCGGTATTCACACTCGTCGTAATCTAATAATACAAAATAAACTAATAACTATAAGAATACTTAAGGAAATTATGTTTGGTATAACTGTACCTTTATTTTTAAATTAACTTGAACACAAACATTATTGACAAAAAAGATTGAAGTTTTTTGTCAATAAATTTTGTGTTAAAGGTATATAGTAAACATCTGTTAGCTGGTAGAAAATAATTATTCTTCTATTATTTATTATCTATTTAATTTTAGCTGACAACTAATAAATAATAGAAATATACAAATTAACAATTCAATTTTGTTTAAGTCATACTAATTTAGTAGCTGTATATATTATTAAGATGAAACATCCTATTACCAAGATTATCGTTTTGCATTATTTATCTGGTGACAATTATAATAATTAATCCTAATACCTTAGATTATAAGGTACCAGTCACTTGTAGTATAAAATTATACAGTACCGTTGCAAGTGCCATTTCGAGCGTTCCCTCCTTCAGTGCTTACATAGCCAATGTTACAGAAGCACGTAAACGATCCCACTGTGTTATTACAACGCGCATTGACGTCGCACTCATCCGTATCAAGGGCACACTCGTTTATATCTGTAACAGTAAATATATATATTTCAAATTTTATATTTAAAACCTAATAGATAAGGGGCGTAACTAACCCTTCCCCCAAGTTTTTAAGTTTTCAAAAATCTATATCTTATTAAGCATCACAAAAGGTTTATTCATTAAACAACCCTTCTGTGTCTTAGAAAAATTAGTTGTACAGCATATGATTTTTCTTTTGTATCTGGAGCCTGACGTTTAGGATGATTTTTTAGGATGACTTTTTTATGAGCCAGCTTAGGCACATGTATGTGTATTACACTACACCGCATAATACAGTATTTATGTTTGAGGCCTCATAAACTATAATGCTCAAAGTCCCGCACTGTTGAAACCATGTTACATGAATTTGAAATATTAATATAATAAATTATTACTATGTAATCATTGTAGAATTTGATGCATGATAATAGAATACTAGGCCTGATAATATTAAAATTATTAATGCGTATTAAGCTGCATATTTCAAATATAGTAATGATATTAATAACAATGGCGTTATCAGTAAAATCATCATCAACATTCCATTAAGCATCGACATGATCAACTTCATCAGCAAAAACCCTTGAAGAAACGAACGACACTGTACAGAAATATGTATATGTATTCACATAGGCCTACTTCAACATTTGACGTTATGACAACACACCAAAAGTAAGCTCACCCTCACAAATGAACCCGTTTCCGTCAAAACCCACTTTACATAGACATGTGTATGAGCCTATGTTGTCCGTGCACGTTGCTTGTTGATGACAAATATCAGGCTGATCGCTACATTCATCAATGTTGTCACATGCTTCGAACCCGTCTCCACGGTAGCCTTCTATGCATGCACACGTGTATGATCCAGGCGTATCGGTACAGTTGGCATTGTCGTGACACAGATTATTAATATTACTGCATTCATCAATATCTATGATGATACATAAAGTGGACTAAAAATAGTATTACTTTTACTATTATGAGCTTCATTATCGTAACCATCATCATCTTTCATCTTCATCACCATCAAAATCATCATCATCCTCCTCCACATTATCATCATAATCATCATCACCACCATAATCACCATCATCATCATCATCATCATTATCACCACCACCATCATCATTATCGTCATCATCAACAACAAAAACACTAGTACCATAAAAATATATGACTATTTAAGCATGGTTTCCATACAATCGCTACACGCTATTGCCGACAGCTTTCAGTGATGTTGATTGGTTGGTCGGTTGAATTGGGGAGCCTTCACGATTGCATCGGGGACTGCTACGCAGTTCAACGATTGCACTGAGAACATGTAGCGACAGTGTAGCGATTTTATGGAAACAAAAATTTACTTGTGCAACTTGTAACGCCGTCTCCGCTGTAACCATCCGGACATGTGCAATTAACAGATCCAATAGTATTGGTGCAAGTTGCCAGGCTATGACAAGTACCCATCGACAAACATTCGTTCTCATCTACACCAAAATATTTGAAAATAGTGTAAACTTACTGAAAAAGGCATTCATAAGATAACAGACAACTAATACTACAAGAATGTCATAATGAATTTAAGCAAATGCAGTGCATTTCATGAGTTATGGTGGCCAAAAGATATATAGAGCCTGACAAGACAGGTGAATACAGGTGAACTGTCACATACCTATACACGTTCTTCCATTACCGGTGAATCCCATTTGACAAACGCATATATAACTGCCTTCTTGGTCTCTACACTCGGAATTCCCAGTACAATCGTGTAGGTTATCTGTACATTCGTCAATATCTGCAACACACATTAATTCACATATTTATGCCTTCATTAATCCATTTTCTTTAGTCCAATGATTAAGCTACGTATCTTAACAACCAAAGTATGATATTAAACATGAAATGGAGACAGTTATTTCATAAAGCCTAAAAAAAATTCACAACCAAATTTCGAAAACATCAATAAATTATTAGCAACAACAAAATGTCACACTGCATTGTTCCAGACTAAAACCAAACCCAGAGCTGCCAACGATAATAATAAACCTGAAGGCTAGTGGAAAGGTGGTTAGTGTTGCTATCAATGATATCATCAAAAATCAGAGGACAAAAAAGTGAGAATGTTTTTAATCATAAAAAAAAAACTAGTAATGGCATTTGCATGAACCAAAAAGTTAAATCCCACTCTGGTTGAAAAAATCCTATTATCTTATCTGTAGTTGTAAATGGATGGGATATGCACTGTCGCGCGTTACTAAACCTTAATTTTAATTGCGCATACAGACCGTTATAACAAATATCAAAAAAACGTTTAGCTACACTAATAACATATTGTAATTGATATTTAAATGTTCAATATATACACAGTGGTGGATCCAGGTCAAGAGAAATAAGGTATTTGTGATGTTCCTTTGCCTATTGTGGGATCCTGAGGGCTATACCCCCTGTAAGCTGCAGACATTCAACCATTTTAATTTCTTATCTAAATGATTACACACTTTCAGTGATTTTTTTGGCTGCTGCCAGTTGTGTGGGGGGGGGGGGCACCCCTTTTTGCCAACTCGGATCCGCCACTGATACCGGTTAGTGAAATCATTGCATAAACGTACTTTCGCACCGTGGTCCATTGAATCCATCAAGACAACTACAGCTATAGTTTCCATGTCCATTGACACATTCGGCATTGGCGATACATATACTGCTGTTTAAACACTCGTTAATATCTGTATGAAAAAAAAACATATTTATTAGAATAATACAATAGTACATACCGGTATACCGTAGTACTAGATATTACAGTAGTAACCTACCATATCTCTCGGGAATTATTACTGTATGACTTTTATAAACTAAAATTGTAAATCTCTTTATGTCCTTTTCCCCCAGTCTGAGTTTACCTTGACATGTCCTAAGGTCATTTTGTAGCTCATAACCCGGTGAACAACTGCACATATAGCTTCCATCCATATTGGTACATAAACCAATGGTATCGTCACATGAGTTCTCACCATTTGTACATTCGTCTATATCTATATATTTTCCAACAAAAGTATAATTATTTCAATGTATGTTTGCGTCAGAAAAAAAATACTGCATCGCGTTGTTAACACGACGTGTTTACATAAAATGTACCAAAATGAAATCCCTCCCTTAAACCTACTTCTGTCTTCCACATTAAAAATGTAACATTCCATAATAATCAATCAGTCAATCAATAAACAAGGATATACAGGGGCGGATCCAGAAATGTCCAAAAGGGGGGGCCGGAAGCGGGGGCCGAAAGTTGGGCCGATTGAGACAACACTGTCGTAGGGGGTCTGGGGCATGCCCCCGCGAAATTTTTGTG